GTTTTTCTTCTGTAATTTCTTCTACTATTTTCTCTATTGTTCTGTTATTATTCATCGGTCTTGTATAGTAATTTAAGAGAAAGTAACCATGACTTTGATAGATATGTGAATAAATTGGTTGTTCGTATACAATTGGTTCGTAGTCATTTTCAACATGAATTATGTTAGTTGAAATCGCGTTTTCTGAAATGTGATTTAATTGCACTTCTGTGCTTTCTGTATTGTCAATACCAGGGGGTATGATTGAGTTTCTTCAGTTGTTTGTACTTGATTTATTTGTCTTTGATGTTTAGGTGCACTACCTCTATAGTGCTGTTGCAAATTTTGATAACGTGTATATTTCCTTTGTGGTGATTGGCAATAATTTCTCTGTCTATTTTGATAATTTGAATTTCTGTTTTGTGAAGTGTTGTGCGATCTATTGTAATAATTATTATAATTTGATCTTTGATAGTTTCATCTGTTGTTTGAATTACCTCGTGATCTGTTATTTTGGTTTTGATGATTTCTATCATTTGAATAGTTTCTGTTTCTATCGTTGGAGTAATTTCTATTTCTATTATACGAAGAGTTTCTAGATCAGTTATTTGAATAGTGTCTTTTTTGAGAATTTGAATGGGAACTGGTATCAAACAATTTTTATGGTTCTGTTGGAATTCGATCTTGAGTAGTTATTTTGATTTTGATTATTTCGACTGTTTGATCGTCTGTATCGATTTTGTGAGAAATTTCGTGAATTTCTTTGATTTCGAGATCTTCCTCGATAGTTAGATCTGTAAAGTGGTTGTTGTCTAGAGTAATTAGAGTTATTTGGAAGTGGTTTTCCTGAAATATTATTACTAAGAATGTTTTTGTTGGGTATATTTTGATCTTTTTCTTGTATTGATGAAATGATTATATTTGTTTCTCTATGTTTTTGTGGTCTATTTTGATTATCTTGTTGTTTTTGTCTGCATTCGGCAATGCTGTTTCCATATCTTTGGCAATAGTTACACCATTTCTTGAATGATGGTTTACATTTAAAATTTGGGTTTTTCTCATAGATATTTAAGATTTCAGTGATTTTCTAAGATAATTCTGTGTCAGAGTCATGAATAAGATTTTTTTGTGAAGTAGTTTGGATGTTGTTTACATATTGTAATTTTAGATTTTCGGTTTCTTTTGATTTCCTTGTGATTTCTGCTTGTTCTGGTTTATCTACTAGTTTTCGAAAGTCTAATTCTGGTTCTCGGATTGAGGAAGGATGTGATGCTCTCTTTTTTATTGCTATTTTTTGCAATTGAAAAGTTAGAGTCATCATTAAAACTTCTGTCAATTTTGTATTTTTAAAACCATGCGTATTGAGTGAGTATGCTTTTGAGACTAGTGTTTCAATTCTTACTGCAACTTGTTTTATTGTCTCGTTGGGTAGTTTACAAATTTCATTGCACAAAACTCTTTGATGTTGTTTGTTTCGTTTAGAATCAAATATTTTTTAAACCCCTTGTGTGAATTTTTTCCAATCTGGTTTTATTTCTATAGGTAAAACTGAAAACCATTTTTGAGCTGCGCCATCAAGTGTAGTTTGGATTAAAGCTGTGCGTCTATGTGTCCAACTTTGACGAAGTGGCATATTTACTGGTTCAGGTCCTATATTCAAAATTAAATTTGCTGTGACTGCATTTAAATAATCTTCTACAGCGTATTCAGGATCTGTGCCTGTGAATACCATTAGTGGCTTATTTGATGAGATTGAGGATCCACCCATTAGGTATGGATTCATAGTCATTTGTAGTGATTCTGCGGCGTTTGGTTTTTGAGAAAAATTTGAAAGTTGACCTTTTGTTATTTCAAGTTGTTGTAAGTAATGCGGCAGTGGATTTTCGTTATGCATTTGAGTTGATTGGTAAGATTGCGTATGGACTGGATTTTGGGTTTGAAAAATATTATTGAATGATCTTCGATTATTTCTTGGCTGTCGTGCTTGTTCATTTCTTGTATATTGTTCGAAAATATCTGGTTGATCAATGTTATAAGAGTGAGGTCTTTTGTTTGTATCATAACGTTGATGATTTTGATTATAATAGTCCGCATCTTCTCATGGAGAATAATGAGCTGTATAATAAGGGGTTTGATTTGTAGCATAGTGTTCATTTGTATTGTTTTTCTTTCGTTGAAAAAATGGAAATTTTTCAGTTTGATCTTGTGTAGATCTTGGTTGGTCATTGAAAAATATTGAGTTCGAAGTTGGTTGTGGTATATTTTGACTTTGTGAGTATGAAAAGGTCTGAGTATTCATGTTAGAAGATTTTGGTGTTTTTTATCTATTTTTATAGTTATAACTATGTGATGTTTTTTGTTTATATGATGGTTTTTTTTACTGGTCCAAGTGTTTGGTATTCCATTTGTGACGTTTTTTGAGCAACAGAGGGTTTTACTGTGGATTGTATGTTTGTTTGTGTTAACGTTGGGCTTTTTGTTTTTGGAGTTATTAGGTTGGGATGAATAGGTAAAATGTTGCTTCACTTACGAAGTGTGAAGGAGTTTGGATATTTTGTTGTATTAGATTTCTTGTTCCGTTTAAATTGTCTTGAGTAATGAACGTAGAGTTTAAACTATTGTTTCCTGCTCTATCAGGAAAGAATGAATTATACTTGAAAGGTGTTGCGTCAATTGTAAGTGGGTATACTTTAACATAATCTTTGTGAATTGAGATTGTGCTAATTGCTTGACTTGACATATTTGTTGGTATGATAATGAATGATTCATGAGACCATTCAGGGTCCCAAACATAATCTGTTTGTTCTGCTAATATAATTTCATCATCCGTGTTTTGTGGTCTGAAAATTTTTCTTGCTTGTGCTATAAGATCAATATTATGAAAAAAATGATCGATTATGAACCATGGTAGAATTTTTCGCAAATCGTGTTTAACATGTTGTGTTATGTCATTACTAGTTAGATTTTCACGGATTGCATTTCAAAATTTTGAAAATATATTTAATTTTTGTTGTAGGGATGTATGTCGGGATGTTTGGGTTGGTGAATCGCCTTAAAGTTTTTTCAATTCTAGTATAGATAAAAGCTATAGATAAGTGAAAAAACATCGTTTGTGAATTTTGAATTTGCTCTTTGTGAGTTTTGGTGTTGTTTATTTTTTATATATTCTGTGAAAACTTTTGAAAATTCAAAATCTACGTCATCGGTTTGAATTAGATATTTGTCATGAAATGAGTTTGGGGAACTGATTTGTATTGTGTATATTCCATATTGTGATGTAATACTACAAATGCCTTTGAGATAGTGGTCAATGAGTTGTCGTTTTATTTTTACACCTGGAAATTCTTTTGTGCATGGGCTTTCTCCTTTTTCAAATAAAATTACGATAAAATTCTGGCAAAATTGTACTTGCCCTCGAGCTTCAGCTTGTGGATGTATCAAAAATTAGAATATGAAGTTTTCTTCTACTTTTTCTTCCGTTCGAATCTTTTTCGTGTTTTATAACTGTTAATGTGTAATTTTCAATGTGTCTTATTGGTCGGATTGCAATTGCATAGACGTATTGGTTTGTTTGTGTAGGACATTTTATTCTGCGTGAAGTGGTTTAAGATGCTGATGTCGTGGTTTAATTGATGCTGGTGACGTGGTTTATCAGTAAAAAAAACTTATTTGATGATTACAAATAAGTGGATTGTTAGTTAATGGAGTATGATTGGTTGATTGGTTAGTATTCAATCTTTTATAGAGATAAAATAAAATAAAAACCAATAATATATTTCAGTTTAGATCTGATTACATTAGTATGACTCTCTATTTTTTCGGTCAAATCTTTTTATCACAACATGCAGAAAAAAACTACACCACTTGCAAAAAAATAGCTTTGAATTTTTTTAAGACTGTGGTCGGAACAATCTGTGCTACTTGCACAGTAACCGGCTATACTTGTTAGTTTTTCTAACAAGTACGTATTGCATTTTGAGCGTCGAGTTCTTATTGGTGTTTCGGGATTTTTTATATGAGATTCTGTCCCATTCGGGAACTTTTTAGGCAATTCCTCTCGGGAATTTTTTTGATCCAGGTCTGATTACAGACATCGTATTACAAATCATAACAAGTAGCACAGAATGTTCCGACCATAGTCTTTAGAAAACTACGGTTTAGAAAATTTTTTTCCAAGTTGGTGTATTTTTTTTTGCTTGGTGTAATAAAAGAACCTGACATAAAATAATAATTTAGTCATATGGACAAATTGGACAAAAATATTCGTAGAAAAATGAGTAGAAAAACAAGAAAAAAATCAAAAAATTTTCAAAATTTTAGCAAAACGTTTGAAATTTTTAACGTTTTGGTTCACAAAATGAATCTGAAAACTCCAAAAACTAGTTTCATTCGTTTAAAATTAGAATTTAAGGTTTTAAGTTAGGCATAACTCAACTGTTGTAAGTGTTCACTTGCTCTATTTGCTCGAAAAAACAAAAATTTCAAACCGGTTTTTCTCGACACTGGAAAAATTTGATGGAAATTTTTAAATTTAGTTAAAATCACGACGGAAAGAGCTTTACTGAGATATATCACTTGACCCAGACGGATGAATTTTTGTGGTAACTGATTCCTCGTAGAAAACAAAAAGAAAAAAACTAAAACATACCCCCGAATACAAAGTTCCTCCCGATTTAAAATGGTCGGAACAACAAATATTGCAAGTCGTGAATAGGAGTCTAAAAGCATGGAAAAATGGTCAAAGCGTCGCAAAAACTGGTCTGAGTTTTTCGTTATCCGGTCTATTTTTTTCAGGCTGGAAACTAAACTGAATTTCCAATCTAATTCTTCTGGATTTTTCCAGTATTTTATTGGTCATAAGCTGATTCTTATGGTGCGTTAACAATTGCAATGTTCTCTTACCAACTTTCAGGAAAACTTCAACTTTTTTTCTTAGGCTTCTATTTACGATACGAAAATTATTTAGGTCGGAAATCTCTACAACAATCGACTTATCTTCTTGCAGTTGTAGATTCAGTTACCTGACAAAACTGGTCGCTTGGGGGTTGTGTTTCGGCAGGTGTGCAGTTGGTAGGGTAACCATCTCCTCCAAAAGCCGAATACTCGTGCTCTGACGCTAAGGTCATGTACAGAATCCCACTCACATTTCCTATTACAAAAACTAGATCAACTTTGGATTGGTTGTTTTTCCTATTGATTTGTATCACAGAGGTCTCGACTTCATATTTATATTCGACATGATATTGATGATAAGACATGACTAATTAAAAGAACTACTTAGAGAAATGGAGAAAAGTCCCTCAGTTCACATTAGCCCATTTGATTTCTCAGCTTAAGGCTCCGCTTAAAGAATTTTCACTTAGAGCCTCTTCTTATCTCATCACGCCGTGTCAAGTCTAAATCAGCCCTTGTTGGCCCTCAATTTGAATATCCAAGATTCAAGTAAGAGTCTTTGCGGGAAAAACTAATAAAGAACACTTTGACATAGGATCATTTGTCTTGGGGAAAACATTCCTGACACCGTTTTCTCAACTTCAGCCCCCTGTCATGTGTGCCCGCTACTCTTAATTCGACAAAGTTCTACCACAAATTATCCTCCATGATTCTTCTAAGAACTGAACTTTCAATAGTTAGAAAACTATTGAAAAAAAAATTTTGCTTCAAAACTTATCCCACACTAACATTAGGAAAAAGTCCATAGCCAATTGTGCCCGAAAAACGTATTAGTTTTACCTAAATGTTAAAGAGTAATGTAATACCACTGGTATGCTAAATTGACTATCTAGTTTTAGAAGAATAAAAGAGAAATTTTTGAACTAAAACGGTTCCTGTTCCATTCAACTCAACTAGAAAAATGTCACGGAGTCCAATGAACTCCGAAGAGACACACAAATGGCAGGTATCTACTCACTTAAAAAGTGAAAGTCAAATTATTCAGCTAAAGACACAATTGACAACATTCATTCCCAAAAGCAGGAAAAGTTCATATCTGTCACAATGAATGGTAGTCAAAATGACACTCAAACTCCATTTCCCCTGCACCCCACGGGAAACAGGATTTTCAAATAAAAGTAACAAAACTTACTATAAATACCGTAGATTTTACAAGTAAAATATACCACATATACACAGAGTAGAGGTTATCTGCACAAAATTTGGAGACTACTGACAATTCTTACAGATATCTACAGGGGAGTAATTACAAAACTGTATTGTACAAATTGAGATCAATTGATTCGTTGATTAAAATAATCCTAAAAGAAAGTTGAATCTAATTTCAAAAAAATTGGCTAGACACCAGACATAATAAAGTTCAAAATAAATAATTTTGCAAAATCTAGTATCGCACTAGTTGTGATAAGTTCAGGGGCGGATTTATGGGAGGGGGTGGGGGGCGACGCCTCCCCTCAGAGATTCGACCCCCTGCCGACCCAAAAGGTCCCCCCTTGGTACTTTTTAAGAAATCCAGTTTCGGCCGACGAACCCTAAAATGTTTCTAAAGGCGCCTTTGGCGCCAATATATACTAACTTTGAGGGGGGAGCGCGCGCCGAAAAAACGCGATTCTTTGGTCAACATTTTCCAAAAAGTGCCTAAAAACGGTTTTTTGGCCTGTTTTTCAAAATTTCGCCTGCGGCGCAGAAAATTTTGCCAAAATAGGGGCAAAACAGTGCTTTGGGAGAGCTCGAAAAATCAATTTGGTCGACCTAAAAAAAAAAGTCGTCAATCCTAGATCCGCCCCTGACTACGGCGCAGAAAATTTGGCCCAAACAGGGACTAAACCGAGCTTAGGGAGAGCTCTTAAAATCAATTCGGTCGACCTAAAAAAAGGTCGACAAAATTTTCGAATTTTTTTGAAAATCCGCCCCTCGAGAAAATCCTAGATCCGTTCCTGGATAAGTTGGTTATGATAAAACTTTAGGTTACGTAGAACTCAGTGTGGAAAAACCTGCATCCACTCTTGGTTATGTGTCAAATGTAGACAAAATGTCACTGATTTCATCATTAGTTGAAGAGTCCACTTCAACCGTGATTGACTTACAAACTAACATGAGAGGAATCAATGAGGGTTATCTTTTATGTTGTTGTTTCGTTACGTTGTATCGGCTATAAAATGTTACGCTCAGTTTTGCAATGGAATTCCAGGATAGTACGCTAAGTTTATTATTGTTCTTCTCGCAGAAATTTTTCAAATCATTTCAAATAAAACACGACTCATGGTCCACTCTGAGGGTTTGCGGAAATCCATGAAAACTACAAGAATTGCATAACAGTTTTGAGCGGAATGTGTCGAATGGTTATTCAAAATTGTTGCCCACGGAATCTTCGAGAAACAGTCAAAATCAAGAAAAGTGTATTTTGTTCCGCCCCGCAATTTATTCAGCGGGCCTTAAAATCCAAATCAATTTTATCATTCGCTTCCTTGAGTTACAAACTGATTTCAATTGAATGCAAGAATCAAACAACCTTGAAATTTGCTATACCTTATTTAAAATAATCGGCTAGACACCCAACAGATTGAAATTTGATTAAAAAAATCAAAATAATTGCAAAATCTAGTATTGTACTAATGGTTGAAGTTGAATGAAAAATTAACGTTATTTTGAACTCATTGTGGAATGTAATTGCCTCCGGTCTTGTTTCTGTGTCATTCACAGAGAAAACTTTTCTGCTTTGACTATCGGTTGAAGCTTCTATTTCGGCCGTGAGTGATCCAGAAACTAATCATCTAGAATCCAATGCGGCCTTACCGTTTGCTTTGTTGTTTTTCCGTTGTTTCGACGACCAGGAGGCTACGCTTGGAAATGTCCCCGGAAGGGGTCAAGCAGTCTGAGGAGGAGGCGATAATAAAGCCTCCCAGCTGAGCTCTCTCTTGCGTCTCGTTCGCACCATAACTTTGATCAACAGTCGCTCAAGATTTTTCCAGGATGGTTGCTACCAGATTGGTCGATGCGACTTTATAGACAAGGCAACTTTCTCCAAAGAATTTTGGAGGTCCCACGTTTCTGCGAGCTCTGGAGGAGCTCCCTGTGGGGGTGGGTTGCGTGCTGGTCGTTTGGTTCTGGAGAGCTCTATTTTAAAGTCGGGTTTTCACTTGTACAATTTGTAGGTGTACACTGAGTGAATTTCATCAATTCTTCGGTTAGTGATGACTGTCTGAAGGTTTTCAAGTAGCTTTCAGATGGAAAAATTCGACTCCCGGAATTATGATACCGGTCATCTCCCTAACAGTTGCATAATTAATTATCCCAATGTTCTAAAACTAGAGATGATGAAGTGTCGAAAGCAAGTGAAGATAAATTTCAGAAATTGAAAAATTTCCCATTGATATGATTTTCTTTTTCGAAGAGGCTGGTTCCGGCTTTCTGTTATTGGTAAAGAATTCTAAGAGTCCATAATCTTGTTTTTTCAAAGAGGAGTTTCTCTTCCACTTGACTGCTAAATCAGATATGTTAACCAAAATTCCATTTTTACTATCGCATTTTGGCGGAGCATTTGACTTTTTTGATTATGTGCTCATTATCTAGTATTTTTGTGTGATCAGAGTTAGATAATTTTTTGCCTTTGAAAGGTCTGAAAAACGTTTGTTCTACGTTTTGATTAAACGTTTGCGCAAATCAGTTACCTCATTTTGTGAAAGTGTTCGACAATGGGGTTGTTGCTATTCGGCATTGTCCGTCGGGTCACTACCTTAACCTTTTTGTTCTTGGGCATTTTCTACGATGTACTGTTTTTATGCGGTCTTTCTCCGTCCAGTCTTGAGCTCTTGCATTGGACACAAACTTTTCTTCGTCTCAATTAATTACGTTTGGAACCAAGCTTTTACCAAAAAGCGTTTTATTAAAATGTTTCCCGTGTTTATTAAAACGAAAAGCTTACATTCAATTGATGCTTGTTTAATCCATCGCAAGTTCCAGATGACTTTATCAATTGCCTAGTAAACGATATCGCCAGCAATCTGACTGAATAAGTTAGCCGATCTACAGCTCCATTTGATTTATGACCACCCACTGTACACAAAATCAGATTAAATTTGTTCTCCTCACAGAAATTTTTTAAACCTTTTAAAAAAAACACGACATATGGTCTACTCATTTGGATTTCGGAAGTCTGCGAAGGTGAGCATAACAAAAATTTAAAAAGGGATGAACAAAAACAAAAGGAAATTTGAAACGGGTTGTGTGTATGTGTCGTTCAAAACTTTCGCCGAAGGAATTTTGGAGAAACGGTCAACAGATAGTAGTATGTTTTTTTTCGCTGGATGGTTTATCCAGTGGGCTTCTAGTATCCAATTCAATAGCTTCATTCGCTTCCTTGAGTTTTGATCATTTCCGAGTGCTAGATGAGCTCAGCATTACTTCTAACTTTTAATCATGCATGCTGAGCCGTTTCTTTTGTATCGCGTTCCGCTGCTATACATTTGAGACGTTTCCTTTTTGGTGGTATCCTTCTATGTTTAAATGAAGACAATAAACAATTTCAGCTAACGCTTTCAAAATGTCTCGGGTGCCTCGAAAAAAGGCCATAGGCCATGAAGGAAGATCAAAGAGCTGCTGGTACCACAAGCTTGTTTTCGTTGAGAACTCATTTTTTATAAATTTTAATCTCATTGTAGGGCCCTTAAATTGTCCAGTTGTTTTTATCTTTTTCTACTTAGTTCTTGACTCATAATATCTTGTTTTCCCTGGTTAACTTTATTATTTATTCCAACAATGACTGATAAACGAAATTGGGGAGGAAACTAAATTTGAATCGCTTCAGTATTTCAAAATTAGTTTTGATTGATTTGTGAACTTCATATTTCTAAAATTTTTATTTCGATTCCATTTTCTGCGCTGATAATAGCATTTTTCAAATTGAAACTCGATTGAAAAGAAAAAGTTCAATTTAATTATATGAATTCATATCTAGGTACACGGTTAATAAAAGGTACAGTAGGGACAAGAAAGAAAATAAAACACTAGTCTGATAGAAAAAAAATGATTCAAGTTGAACCTTGAAATATCCAAACGGATGCAATTGCTCGTGCAAATTTCCGAGTGACAGTGATTTGAAATAAAAATTCAAACTGTGTCGGTGACGTAGCTTAGGAGAAACGCAAAGAACGACCTTTGGGTGTGTTATAGCATTTCACATTTACCTGCGATGGGTGTATATTTTCAAAATGAGTAACATTTTTTATACTACTAGCGCGCTCGATCGATATAATATGTACAATTCATTTTTACTACAGTCCTTGAATATTTTCTTTATCACTGTTTGTTTGCAAAAAAATTTCTAGAAATCTTGCTGATAGTTGAAACTATGAAATCATTTTCGTTTTGTGGGGTGAAGAGAACTTTTTTTGAAGGTAGTCTTGAAAGAACATCGGTGAATCTCATATCGCTCCCCTGTATAAGAGCTACTTTAAATTTTAAAAAATAACAATCTTTTCACCCATCCCGTCACTCTACTATGCATATTTTTTTTCCATGATTTGCTTTTAATGTAAATAAAAGGGCTTCATGAACAGTTACTATTTTAAATACTGACCCATACAAATTAATTTTAGAAGGTTCCGTTGATCATAAGACCTAGAAATATTAGTTATTTAGTAAGATATTTCAGTTCATGATTATGCAAAAATGTTCAGGTGAATGCCATTGTTATTCAAGACTACCCGTCCCACTTTCTAAGTGTTGCGCTTAACCAGTTATGCAATGCGTCCGTCTTTAATCTGGAACTTCCTTTTACAAATATGATGTTCTCTATGATATTCCCATTTTGGTTGTTTAGCTCTTCAAATTCTTTCGAATGTGTATCATACTAATTAAACAAAAACTTCTTGTATAGAAAAGAGAGTAGCGGTGAGCATAGAGTCAATAAAATTTTTTTCAATTGATATACTGAAAAAAAACAAGACAAAACATCTAATAAGCTTTTCGAGTTGAGTCGGTTCTTTAGTGAGTCAGTTTTTAGGGCAATAAAATCACATCTAAAATCAGAAAAATTGAACGTCAATTATTCAATATTTTTTTTTTAAGAATGCGCTTGTTCTTTTTTCACCGCAATTTTCTTGTTTATAAGAAACTCTAGTAATTTTAGTGAAATAGCTTTTTGTTTGTCCAAACATGTTTTTGATGCTATTAAAATAAAAAATACATCTACAAAATCATTACAAAAGGGACATCTTTAACAAAAGAATCCCTCGCCCGTAGGAATTTGTTTGGCATACCGCCTAATCCATAATTGCTACTTAAAAAACGGCATGTACCAGTTTTTTCACCACCCGCGAAACAAAAGTTACCATTTTTAATTGTATTTTTGCACAGTTTACTATACGCTTTTTGCATATCAAGACTACTAAACCATACGTCTCTAAACTTTTTGTTTGACTATTGAAGAGCGATGTTGTCGAGTTATTTTTGTATGTTCGGCATTTGTTAAATTATTTAAAATATCTGGTGCCTAACAGTTTTGAAACTAAGGCTGGTTTATAGGAACATATTTTTTTCTCGTAATCACTATCGGAAGCAATCTTAGTCGCTTTTAACTGATATGATAAAATATTTGCCCTTTCTTTCATTACTTTTGATTCACTTTTTACACCTTTTAAAAAAGTTAAGAAAATTCTTCTACCCTTTATTTTGTATCGGTTTTGTAGGAGTATAAAATAGCGTTGGCAGGTGTATGTAGTTTACAAGATACTAGTAACGTCATTTTATTGATTCGTTAGAGGCCTCGTCTCTCTGCTGCTTCAATCCCAAACTTCGTTAAAATATTATTCCCTAAAACCTTTCTTTCTTGACCCGAAATTCTTTGTTTCCTCGCAATTTTTCATGATTCGACTCTGTTCGAATCAGGGTAGGACTTGTTCGACCCATGAATCGACCCGGGATTTAATCCTTTTCGACTCTTGATTCGACCTTGTTCGATTCTCTCGACCCTGTTCGAAGCCAGATTTAACCCATATTTCGACATTTGTTCGACTATACCCTTTATTCGACCGTCCTAATTTGCGATGAAATTATTACATTTATTCGATAGTTTTCATCAAATTCAAATTATGAGTCAAACGCCCCAGCCCGGGTACATCACAATACTTGAAATAGCCTAACTTGGATGCAAAGGAGTTAGTTTAACATACTAGCGTAACAGCTCACGATTTTTGTTAAAAACCCGATGGGTGCAATTTGATAAGAACTGCATTGTTTTTCAGGTTCTAGTTTTCATATTATTAATATATAAAAACTTTTCGCTGACAAAACACGAAGCTCAAATTCCAAAACAAAACCGTTTCAAGCAGACCCTTGTATGATTGATTTGAACAAAGTTGATCTCTTCCCAAACTTGTGTTTCTCACCCGGGTCGAAGTTGTGTTCTTATGATCAGACGGGTCCGACCAAATTTTGGTAATTCCAGATTGTCGCGACTGAAATTGGATAACTTCACACCACCGCGACCAAAATTTGGTTTTTCTATATTGATTTTGGTTATAAGGTTTTGACTCAGCTATTTTGTTGACTATGCAGCAACTTGTTTGTCGACCGCAGCGCTAGCATGCTGCGACTGTTTGTTCACGACTTAAAATCCTGCCCAGACTATGGCTTTTCAGCGACAAAATCGAAAAATTAGTCGCGGACCTCGACCCGCGTATAGATCTTTTGAAACTACAGAAATCATGAGTATAGGATTAAGATACAATATAAGACAAAGAATCAGCACGAAAGTATCTTGCCGAAAATAGATACAAAACTCTAGAGAAAATCTTTTTCTCAATATTTTTTTTCAGATTTTTGTCAAATTCGTATATAAAAATTCAAAAGTTTTGTTAAAAGTAATATGGACCTTCTTGTACCTGGAGATCAAGATTCTTAATTGTCCGTATAACTGTCTGTAATGTAAATTGACAAATTATTCGACAAAAAGTTTTCTGCTTTAATTATCTGGATACAAACCCATAATGCTGAGTCCTTCTGTGAGGGCGATGAATGCGACTAGTTTTCTGGCATAGCTGCGAGTTGTCTGGAGGAAAAAGAAACAGTAGAGATAGATGCCACACCCAGCTATGGACAGCAGCCCCATCACACAGAATGTCCATGTAAGACCCGGACTAGGGTTGTCACCTCTAAAAATAACAGATGAGTGAGCTATCCATCCGGGGCGAAGCTTCGACCTTATGTTTTGATTCAGTTCGACTCTTAGTTCGACCATCGGCCATTCAGTCGAAACATAAAGTTGAAACTTTGACTCGGGCAGCTATTTTTGTGGTCCTTGGTTACAATAATGTTTCTTCCATGGTGCTTTCGTTAAGTCTGTAAATTACATGGCTGACCAAAAACTTCAATTTTCCAAATTTTATTTCGATAAATTGAATTGTACTGAGATTGGTTTATTTTTGACAGTCGCAAAAACAATAATATTTGGATATGATTACCAAGAACTCAACGTTTCAACAAGAATAGCCGATCTTTGTATTAAGATAGGGAATAGAGCATCCGGTCTTCAAGCTATGTATTAAGATTGGGTATAGAGTCTACAATGTATTAAGATAGGGAATACCGATGGTAAGGTTTTATGGTTTGTGTGATGGTAAGATAATGGCAAGAAAAACGAAAATTTTTTGGTTTTTGTTTATTTTTTCGCAAAGTTTTTGGCGCGCGTTATCTAATTGGGAACAGTTAATTGTTAATTACGTGTAGAATAAAGGTTATGTATTTAGTTTTTTGGTGCATGGTAAGTCAATGGTAAGAGTTTTTGTGCAAAAACTTGGAATTTTTATCAAAAAAATTTTTCGAAAAAATTCAAAACACGATAAGATTTTGTTCAATTTGATCTAATAAAAATTTATTAGATACTTTTACTTTCTACCTATCTGAATCTATTCTGAACCTACAGAGACATCGAAAAAAAAATCGAATTTTTTGAGAGAAAAAAATTAAATTACAAAGAAAGTATATAAATCACTGCATCGTATAGTAAACTTACTGCCATAATTTACATTTTATTATCAAGAAACCATAATAATATGACATCTTATATAATTTAATACATCAGAAGAGTTCTTATAAGTCCAATGGTTTTGTATGAATTCCATCATCTTGCACTTGTCTTTTAGGATAAAAATAACTTAGTCCTTTCTTTGTCTGTTCATATGTAGCAACCATATGATTTATAGTTCTGAATCCTCTATTAGTAGATGTTAAGTTGATAACTTCATCGAGTACTCTCCTATACTTTGCTAAAGGTCCATCTCCAGAGTCTTCTAGAACCCGCTTATTCAATCCTTTGCTGCTAAATTTGAATTTGTCTGACTTGTTGTCATAGCAGCAATATGTCTTACTACATAAACAGAGCATTTCTGTGCACCTAAATTCTTCTTTGAAAAGTCCCGGCTCCCGATTATCATGTTTTTTATGGATACTACAACACGTTCGAGGAAAGAAATTAGATTTTGCATCCGCCTTGAAGGAATTTCTGCAATCACTCTCCCTCATTTTTTCCCAAGCAGCTCTCTTATCTGGTTGGATGCAATCGTACAAATTTTCTTCTGCAAGTGCCAAGTAAAGTGAGTCTGTATCCATCTCCAACTCTTCAAATTTATTCACATCACAGAACTTGTCAAAGAAGTTATAGTAGAGTTCCAACATTCTCAGTTTTGCATACTGAAGTATGAAAAAACCAACAATGATGGGTTCTCTGTGCTCAATGGTTGACTTCAATAACTCCACCTCATATAAGTCCTTCTCAACTGTGTTAAGTCTCTTAAACAGTGGTTCATTGATTGCCTTATGAGTTTTTTCATCATTGAGATATTTTGTGATTGTATGTCTCGATCTATCCATGATCTGATATCCATAGGAGGAATTGCCCAAGAGCTTCATTTTTTCTGCTACAACTCCTGACAAAGGGTTTTCATCTCCTTCTCTTCTTGCATCAACCACCGATTGAACGAAATTATTGAAACACTTCCGAAGAGAATATTGAACAAATCGGTAAATTTTGGTGCACTGTAATCCAAGTTCCATATAAAAGTTGAAGAAAGGAGTTATAACTGTTCCATTTTCCAGCTTGAAACTAGATATCTGCATTCTCTGAGGATGTTTTAACATTTCATTCTCGATCGCATAGTTTTTCATGTAATCTCCAATATCATCTCTTCCGACCTCAGTTTTTTTGAAAAATGGAGCAAAATTCGCAAATTTCGATTTCAGTTCATCTGGAACAACTAAGTCACACTGAACGTAACCAAAAAGAGATCCATCTTTTATCTTTGCTGGAAGAGAGTCTGTAGAAAGGGGTCTTTTGTAGGGAAAGTGGGTTCGAACATGATTTTTGATCTTGTCATTGGTTTTGATATTTTGCCACCACTCACACCCACATTTCTTCAAATTTGTATCCTTTCTCTTGAATGTATTCTCGTCGCATATCATCCATTTCTCTCTTCTTGTTTCCTCGCTCGATATCCTGTTCTGTTAAGGAGGGACGAGCTTCTTGACAGGAACAGAAGTGGTAGTAACATCCCATTGCTTCGAATACTGTTTTACAGTGATCACAATAACCGTCCACATTAAAACAGTCAATTTTCTTCTGTTTTCCAGATAAAAAAAAGCTCTCAATTTTACATTCTGGTCTTGATTCTTGATAGAAAGACATGACCATATTCTCAAAGTTGCGAGTTCGATTATGTCTAGCCTTGAATTTTTGCATATCAGTGTCAAACTCCCATCTCGTATACAGTCCTGTTGGCATATCTTGACACATTGAATAGGGGTAAAGCTGGCTTGCATCAATTCCAACGATTGATTTACAAACATTTGATGAATTTCTGATGTATTTTTCATCAACTACAGCTTTTCGAGTGAACACAATCGAAGGCCCACCGGTCATGTCTTCTCGTTTTTTTTTCACACAAATCTTTATCACTTTCGCAAAATGGATAAAACTTGTAATTTGTAGATTTGTGTAGACATATGTTTGCTAGATTTGGAAGTGTGCATGCAAGTTTCAACATATCTATCCCCTTGTTATGATAAAACTGAATCATTTTTTGCATTGCCTCCAGGGTTGGAACTATATCTTTGTTGTTTTACCACTGCAAAAAGTCTTTGAACACTGTCATTCCGTTTTTCTGCCAAGTTTGTTGTAAGTAACTGTAATTATCTAGACCAGATGGGGGTACAGTCTTGATTTGAAGCTTTTTCAGCGCTTGCTGTTCATCAAATCCACTCTTCCTCAGTTTTTCATAATCAGTAAAGTCTTTGTCTAGAGGATTGTTGTTTCTAAGTTTACTGAAAAATGCTTCATATGGGGGCAGTCCTGGAAAATCAAGTTTGTCAGGGTTGTCAAACCACTCATAAGGAAAGAATCCTTTTGTTTCACTAGCTTTATAGGCTTTGAGAAATGAGTCCAGAGTTGTTGCTCCACCCAGAAACTTCATAATGTCAAGCAATTGTACATCTCCAAACTTGAAAGATATAAAATCATTTGCTTTTTTGATAACGGATGTTTCTTGCTCTTTATCGCGAATCAAATAAGGGATTAAGTAGGACTTGATCAAATTTAAGTCATATCTACCACTGTTAAATCCAAAAACTGGTAAAGTATTTATATATCTCTCCAGATGTTGTTTCAAATCGATGAGTTGATTTTTCTGAATTCGCAAAAATTGTGTTGACATATCTGCTTCTTCCGAATCTTCAATGCATTCGTCTTCGTACTCGAATTTGTTACTTGAAAATTTTTTACCACGTTCGTTTAGCTGATCAAAGATCTTCTTCAATCTTTCATTGACAGCTACTTCAATATCTTGAAATTTTGTTCTCATCTCCAGCTTACTTTTCTCAGCCAACAGCTCGAGTTTGCTTACAAAATCAATAATCAAGTTCTGTGGATCCTTGTTGTACAAAAAGATGGGTTCATCAATCAGAATTGATGATATAGAGACTGAAATGGGGACATGTTTTCCAATCCAGGTAGTAGTCTGCGTCTCTTTTAGTTCCTCTGTAGGAACACAAATCGATTCAAAATCGAAAATTGCTAGGTTATTAAAAAGTTTGTTATCTTCAGAAACTGGAAGATTGAATCCTTCTAGCTTTTCAAACAAGGTTTCGCGAAGCTCATAGACATTCTTTGGGTAAATATGTTTCACTCGGTCCTTGCATCTCAAGATGTTTGTTAAAATTGTCGGATTTATTAAAAAAAGTGTCACAACTAGGACACCGGAATCACTTGAAGAAAGAATCAATATCATTGTATGAATGATATGATTGTTAAATCTCAGTAGCTTAACTGTTTCATCGAATCTTCCGATACTTCGTCGAGCTAGTTCTCCTACATTTTCTCCATCTTGGATATCGAAATCGTATCTAAAAATGTTTCTTTGCACAATTTCCTCGACAACAGGTAAGTCTTCTACAGAAACTCCGCGAAAACTTTTAGGATCACAACCAGATTTTGATATGAAATCTGTAAAGTATCTAGAAGTGTGAGAGTCGAGATCATTCTGTCCGTTCATGTACATGGCCAATGCGCGGAAAAGACACAAATGATCTTTGTAAGGTTCCTTGTCTTTGTTAGATAAAAGACAATTCACTTGCGTATGTCGTAATAAAGGTTCGGGTAAGACAGAGTCCGGACATCCCATGGGGATGTTTTTCAGCAAAGCAGCGAAAATTGTGACGTTAGTAATTAACTTGAATCTCCAGTTTGTGTTTTGACGTTCTTGGGTACATTGCTCCACAATATCAAATTTTTCTACTTTTCCTTGGATTGTTATCAAATCCGCTTTCGTACAAAGTAAGTGGGATTTTTCAAACAGAGTATTGTTTTCATGAGCGTAGAAATAACGATATTCACCAGTCTCAATGTTTCGAAGAATAAAACCCAGAGCAATGTTGATTTTGGCTGCAGAATCGAGCTTGTTGATGACTTCTTCAAGTTTCTCGTTAATGATTTTAGTATCTAAGTTGGACATTTGGAAGTTAAATACCTTATGTCTCCCATTTTCCATCTCCGTATCCACCAGAAAATGTTGACAAGCACTAAGTTACTCCTTTGGTTTTTCACCATCTTCCCCTTCTTCCTCCACAATCTTGTTCAAGTCGGCCACCGTATCACTGGGTTTCC